CGGACATCTCCGACAATTTCAAATTCCTCCCGCAGCTTGGCAAACTTCAGTAACATATAGTTGCCAACTTCTTGACTGTTTTCCTGTAGACCATCTTCTTTAATCACCTGTTGAGAAATAGAGAGTCCAAAATGACCTTCTATAAAAAAAAAATCTAAAATGCACGGAAGTGAGTGTATCTGCTCTCTTTTGCAGTAATTTAGATGCGCTGGTGGGGGCCGTGGCTAAGAACATGGTTGTTAACTAGAAGGTTGGTCCTTTGAACCATTCAGCAGCTCCATGGAAGAGAAGACCTGGTGATCTACTTCTGCAAAGATTACAGCCCAAGAAACTGTATGGGGCAATTTGATTCTGTCTATGGGATCAGTATGAGTCATCCTAGGCTTAATGACAATGGGAACAGACAGTGACATAAGCAGACATGAGCCCCCAAACAACATTTTGGTGTAGCCACACCATGTACTACTCAGATTTTGCTGGGAGGTGAGAAAATGTCATGCAGAGAGGATGTATCCCCCCACCCTCCATTGTCAACTCAGGAGTGGGGAAGAATTTAGGGAAGAAAAGCCAGACATCCTTGCAGCTAACAACATAGAACCCATAATCCCGAGGCTCTTTGGTGCTAGGCTTTGTTGGAAACGATACAGAGGTGAATAAGATCCTTTGGCCCTGGCTGTCCCGAGGAAAGACGTACCACAGGCTCTTGCTCTTCTGGGAGCGTGCCGACTTTGACCCAGAAGGCCTCAGCACAAGCACTCTAGGCTGAGGTTGTGGCCTCTTGAGCCAAGCCAAGTCCTGTGCGGGTTCAGAGGAGGAAACCTGACAGCATCAAAAGGATTTCACCTCCCTTCTGTGTTCAGCAGAAATCTCTGATTCGGGACAATATAGATGAAGTCTACTTACATGTAGTTGATATCATTGCTAGACTCCAGGCAAGTGCAGGATAAGGGATGGTGCATTGAGGGGATTGAAATGGATGTATAAGTTATTGAATATAAAATCGATGATCTGCTCTGTAAGTCTTCACCTATATCTCAAGAAGTTATATGTAGAGTATACACACACACACACACACACACACACACACACACACACACACACATATATATACAGTTCCCATACAAATGTTGGACTTATATAGAACTTGTAATTAAGGACCCATCCCAGTAAAACATGTTATATTAAAAATTCAAGGTCCATTTAAGGGTTTATAACAACAAAAGGATGATACTTTGAGATGCATGCCAAACACATTATTATTATTATTATACATTATGTTAAAGATATTTTTGTGTGCTGAAAATGTTTCTTTAATGTTTTTTGTTGTTATGCACAGGAAGTCACACTATATAAAAAGACAAACATTTGACTGACTTTAGATGTGACTGTACTTAACTATTTCTGACTTTTAATGTAAAGGCAGATTTAGGAAAGAAACCTGTTTGTAATCTGGCTGCCACCTGCATTGATAATAAAGGCAATGATAATTAATGCCTACATCAGAACCAGGGCATCCAACTAGTTCATTCTGGTTTGATCTGTAACTGAGACTGTGCACTTCCACCCAGACAGACTGAATCAGCATCTACAATTTAGCAAGATTCCTAGGGAATGCTTATGTAATGCCAGTGGACCCTGTTGTACTGTAGAGGCTGATTCACCCTATCTGAGTGGAATGCAAATTCTCAGCAGCATGTCAAGCCGGCATGAACTGGGTTAAAGCCCTGGTTTGAACCCATTTATTATGGAGTCATCAGAATGAAACCATGTCTTAAGTCGAGGTCTACCTGTGAGAGCTGAAAACTTCCTGCCAGAGAAGGAAAACTCAAATTGTTTCCACTAATGTGAGGGATAGAAAAGTGCTAAGGCTGCACCCTGTCAAATGCAGAAAACTTGGGTGACCCTCCAAAACAAGGCAGTCCTGTTAAATTCCCGCTCTCACAGAGTCCACTGCATTTCCTGCATAGATGATTTCTATTGCATAGGACTTCTTAACCAGACAGAGTCCATGGCAGAGTTAAGAAAGAGGGGAGTAGAATAACACCTGAAAAGCTAACTTCAATTCATGAGCTAGAAATTACTTTCCACTTTCATAATGTAATCTGATAGTATTGTGTGTGTGTGTGTGTGTGCTTGAAATGCATCTCAGTGATGCTAACTGGGCTTCTAGAAGGTACCTCAAGCACAGCGGAGCCAATGGCACAGGCCAGGGGGTTCCCTCCAAAGGTGTTGAAGTGAAGCAGGCGTTTAGCCAAAGACTTGGCAATCTCTAGGGGGAGAAAATAAAAGGGTGAGAGAGGAGGACACATTCTTGGGCATCATCGTTCACCATACAATTCTATTAACTTTTGTGTTGTACGTGGCACCACTTCCAAGTCACTCTTCACCCACCTGAGAGTGGAGACAGGAGAGTATCGTCGGAGTGACAGCAAAATCTGTAATGTGTTGTATGAACTACAGCTACCTGCAAACTTGATTTCTGGGAATGTATAAGACCTTCAATTAGGCAAATTAAATTTATTGTCTTCTAAGAAGGCAATCTCATGAAAAATAATTTCTCATCAAGTACTTGGTGACCTAATGTCCACCTTGTTTCACAGAATACATTTGCTCCATGCCACTTCATCTCCTATCTCTGCATTTTTGTACCTCATTTCATTGAATCTGCTATCTGTTTGACAACTTGTCTTACTGCGGGGACTTGCATAGTCCTAAGATGCTGGAAGTGGTGCCAAATGGTATTTCAGATCCCAACAGGATTTCCCATGATGAACAGGTGTCAGGAGAGCTTCCAGACTGAGACAGACTAGGTGGTAGTCTACTGAAAATTAGCCAATGAACATCCTACAGATCCCAGCCGAAGATTGTCTGATTGAGTGCTGGAAGATGGTGCAGGTTGGGCAATGTTTTGCTGTGTCGTAGATAAGGTTACCCTCAGTTGGAGCCAACTCAATGATAACTAACAATTCATTCAGAAATGTTGCTGAGTTATTGCAAACCCAACCCAACCTACTGCTGTTGAGTTCTACTCCTGGCAGCTTCCTATACGACAGCGCAGAACTTCTCCCAGTTTTCCCGTCTGTACTCTTGACAGAAGCAGACTGCTCTCTTTCTCCTGCGGACTGACTGGTGGGTGTAAATAATTAAGCGTAGTGTGTAATGATTGTTCTCCCAGGGCACCTTGAGATATCACAAGGCACCTAGATATATTTCAGTTCCTCTGCTGTATGATTCCTGCTGGTGGGACAACAAACTAAATCATTAACACATTTCCTAGAACAAGGGGTTCATAAGAAATTATTTTCTTGAAAACTTCATGAAGTTGGAAAATGAAGTTCATTCTGGTGTTCATTTCCTAGAATGTTCTGCCTCATCACCCAGAACCATATTTGGGTGTTTTGTTAATCAATAATCTGCCATTCTGGACCTTGAGTCTATAGTTTATTGACATGGCAAGATCAGGTAAGCATCTCCTTTGAGAATGCGACTCCCATGACATTTAAGGGCTATTTTCTTTGGTTTTATCTTCATTGTGAAGGAGGGAGGTGACTGGTTTTATAGCAAGAGCAGCAAGTGTTGGCTTCCTTCTGCCTGTTCCACAACCTGTAGGCCGACTTTCTCTCCTTTATTTGCATAGATATGCCCTGTGTAGTTCCCATCCCAATCTCCACTCCACACAAGTTCAAGTTAAGTATTTTATGCCCTCCTCAATGCAGAAGATCCAGAAGTAGAACCCGCCCAATGCTCCTACCTGGAGTGGTCACAACTGCTGCCATGGGAAAGCCATTTCCAATTCCTTTAGCCATGGTGACAATGTCAGGCAGGACATCGTGGGATTGGAAGCCCCAGAAGTGAGAGCCCAACCTTCCGAAGCCTGTCTGCACCTAATGCGAACAGATTCAAAACCATTGGAAGCATTCAAGACATACTTTCAAGAAATATTGCCTTTTCTCGCTCTCTGATCTCTTCCCTTTCCTCCTCTGCTCCCCCCTTCCCCCGCATTCCTCCTCATCAACATCATCCCCACCATGATCATCAGCATCATTGTACCGCTGTGGACCAAGCACTTAGTTTGTGCCTGGTTTGAGGCACCTCTTTTGTTTGCATTTGAATTGTGGTGCTGGAGAGGAATACTGAAAGTGCCTTGAACTGCTGAAAGGACAAACTGATCTGTTGTGAAAGAAGTAAGGCCAGGGTGCTCCTTAGGGGCAGGGACGGGAAGATTTCATCCTACATACGCCGGACATACTGTCAGGAGAGAATGATCTGGCGAAGGACATCATGTTGGGCAAAGTGGAGGGGTGGCAAAAAAGTGGAAGGCCCTCCAGATGGAAAGCCACAGTGGGCTCAGGCCTTGGGACCGTTGGGAGGACGGCGCAGGACTGTGCAGGGTTTCTGTCTGTTGTGCTGAGGGTCGCTGTGGGTCTGAGCTGACTCAAGGGCACCTAACAACAGCAACTTGTTTACTAGCTTTATGAGATTCTAGAAATGTTTCTTGATGTCTCCAAGCTTCTGTTAGCTCATCTAACAAAGATAAATGACAAGATGTCAAAGGGCTGCTCTGAGGGTCGTCTCCATAATGCATTGGAGAGAGTTCTTTGTGATTTAAAGAGAAAGAAATCAATCAGCTTTAGAGTCAATTTCAACTCCCGGTTACCCCATGTATTCCAGAGTAGGACTGCCCCATAGGGCTTTCTTGGCTCTAACTGTTTTACAGGTAGAGTTAGGCCCTTCCTCTGTGGAGCTGTGGGGTGAGTTCAAATCACCAACCTTATGTGGGGAGTGGAGCACAAACCACCTGCATTACTTTCATGACGATTAATAATCCTTAACATAAGGACTTCCTGTGTGAGCAGGCAAGGAATTCTGGTGATTTAGTGGATTACAAGTTGGGCTGCTAACCACTAGGTCAGCAGTTCAAATCCACTAGCTGTTCCTCGGGAGAAAAAGGAGGCTTTCTACTCTGTAAAGTGTTATAGTCTTGGGACACCCACAGGGACAGTTCTACCGGGTCCTATAGGTTCACTATGAGCCCGAATTGACTCGATGGCAGTGAGTTTGGTGTGGTGGGACAGAGCAAGGGATGGGAGAGTGGGGAGTGGGAAGAAGTTGGATCTCTCCCAGGCTGCAAAAAGTGGGACCTGTGGTCCAGCAGGGCTGGGACCATTGCTTTTCAGCCCAGACAGGCTCAAGATCCCCTGTCCTCCCTGAGACTTGTCTCATGAGGAGGCCCCAGCTGCACGGTTGTCTGGACAGCACACAACAGCAACAATAACAATGTACTCTAGAAACGTGGGGTGAAAGTTGATCTTAGCTTTGAGATTCTGTGTACATTCTTCTTTCTCTCTGAAAAATGCTCTCTGCTTCTTCATCTCACTAACTCCTCTTGTGTCCTTCAAAACTTGTCCTGAGTCCTAGGAAGGCTTGCCTCAATGTACCCTGGAGCATGAAGCCATCAAACCTATCCCTGTGGACTGTTATCACCCACGTCCATGTCTGATGCAGGCACTTCGTCTCGTTCCTCTCCATGTCCACAACACCTAGCAGAGGGCCTGATACAGCGTGAGGGTTGGCAGAATCAATGAAAGATTGCTGGCAGCGCCTAATTGAACAGAGCAAGTTAAACAAGTCCATGCAAATAAATGTCTACCGGAGCCTCTCTGGGAAAGGGTCCCCGATCTCTTTCTGTGTACATTTTTTTTCTGTCCACACATACAGACATTACATGTCAGAAATAGGGATGTGAACACTTGAGGCTGAGTTTGAAATACATTTTAAGGGACATCCTTTCTCAGGCCACGTTCTCATTTTCCCTGTCATCTCTAGAGTGCTGCTACGATGGCTGGTTTCAGGAGCTAGAATTAGATGCTAGCAGATATATGGGAGTCAGACTGACAGACCTGGGTTCTAGTCCTGTGACCCCTACTTTCTACTAAGGCGCCTCTGAGCCCGGTGTTTCCTTTAACCGCATGAGGTCACTTGCGAACTCATGGAAAAACAGGTCCATTTTGTTTCCCTGTCAACCTGCCTTCGTTGCTCCATATTTGCAGCAGAAGTGTAGCATACACGACGAGCTAGAAGAGCATCACCTAGGAATTGTCAGTTTCATAGACTTTCATCCAGGGCTCTGAAGCAGTTCATTTCAGTCCAACACTCTGCCGAGACGTTGCATTTCCACCCCAGGTTTACTGAAGCAGAAACTAGTTTAACAAGATCCCCAGGTGATTCTCAGAGAGCTTTTTGAGTGGGGATGTTGTTGAAATGTAGATTCCAAATGGGTGTATCTGGGGATGACAAGGCAAATTCTCAGCAAGGATTCTAACTCAGAATGAACTGGCTTGAAGGATTGCTTTTAGCACAAGCTCCGGAGCCCTGGTGGCAGAGTGGTTATACACTGGGCTGCTAATCACAAGGTCAGCAGTTCGGACTCACCAGCTGTTCCTTGGGAGCCAGAGGGGCTTTCTACTTCCATGAATTGTTAGTCTTGGAAACCCACAGGGGCAGTTCTACTCTGTCCTATTGCGTCTCTACGAGTCGGCATCGACTCAATGGCAGTGAGGTTGTTTGTGTATTTTGTTGAGGGATCACTCCTGCTAATGCTGATAAATTCAAATGTTCTCAGACGGAAAGCATGATCCATGTGGGACTGCTTCCATCCCCACCCTCTCTCCTGCCCCTTCCTGCCTCTTGAACTTTGTTTTGGGCACTTGCCGACCTTTTGGTCTCCTACGGTTGATTGCTTGGAGGGGCACATTCCTCCTTGCTCATGTCAGGGCTTGCTTTATGGGCCTGTCTGCTGTTGGATGGAAATGTGAGCTCAGGGGGCAAGGGCCATTCCAGGTTTGCAAGGCGTCTAAAGGGTTATAGTCTTGGGGGTTCTACCAGTTCCTATCAGACCATTAAGGCAGGCCTTTTAAATGATTTTGTTCCACATTTTTCTCCCACTCTGTCTGGGACCTTTTATTGTGATCCCAATCGTTCCTGAGTGGCAGCTTGGTAAGGTGTTAGTAGTGCAGGCTTGGGAGCCTGGTTTGGGTCCTGGCTGTGTCCCTGCACACTGCATGACCTTGACAGGTGACTTAATCAGCTTGGACTTGAATTCCCTTATGAGTCAAAGGAAGTAATAATAACAGGGCATGCTTTATAGAACCATTACAGGTATGAACTGAATACCATGTAAAACAGTGTGAATAGTGCCCGGTACATAATTAAGTGTCAGAAAGTTCAAGCTAGTCATTAGGCCAGTCCTTCTCAAACTCACCTTGCAGAAGGTGGTTTCAATTTGTGGGCTTAAGAGTAAATACAATCATATTGTTTAGAAAATCCTGAAATTTCTATTTTCTTATAGTTCTTTGTTCCCTCTAGTTAATCCAGATGGTGACAGCTTTATGATGTGTGGGTTACAAAGGCCAACGTTTATCCTTTTCATTGGTGTAGCTAATTGTAAACTGGTTTCCCATGCAGTTGTCCTCCTTAAGCAGGAGCAGAGTAACTTCGATCAGTTCTCATGTGCAGAAATTGCACAGGCATAGCGACGGCAGGCAGCCCAAGCTTGTATAGGCAGCACACCAAGGTTATCCAGCCCACCCAGGGGCTAACCGAGACCTGGCTGCAGAGGAAGACATTGCAGAAGAGTCTGCAGCCGGGGCAGTGCAGCATCTGCTGCAGGGTCTTCAGTTGAGGAAAATGTTCTGGCAAAGTGGTGCCTGGGTGGCACAGAAGGTTTTGGTATGGTTGGTAACCTAGAAGTTGGTTGTTTGACACTCCCCCGCCCCTCCGCACCAATCTTTCCATAAAGATGGCAGCTAAAGAGAGGGAAAGATGGCAGCTAAAGAGAGGGGATAAATGAGGAGCGGATGCCAGGGGCTTAAGTGGAGAGCAAATGTTTTGAGACTGATGAGGGCACTGAATGTACAAATGTGCTTTACACAATTGATGCATTTATGGATTGTGATGAGTTGTATGAGCCCCTAATAAAACGATTAAATAAAAAGAACGATGGCAGCTAACACATTCCTTTGGAACAGTTTGACTCTGGAACACACGGGGTCTCCGTGAGTTGGAATGACTCAATGGCCACCAGCAACAACAACACGTTTAGGCATCGACTGTAGAATGGAAACAGGTATGAATCCTATTCACAACCTCTCCGTGGTTGGGTCTACTCTCCTGTTAGGAGGACCAGGATGGCTCAACCAGCCATCGAGCCAGTTGCCCAGGAAGACTTCTGCAGCCCTGGAAAACGTCCTCCGACTTTTGACATCCATCGCTATCTGCAATAGGCGAAGGCTGGCTTTCCTGGATTCACTCTTAGATATTGTTGTCATGTGCCACTGGGTCAATTTTGACTCCTACGACACTGGCCCAGAGGGTTTTCTTGGCTATAATATTTCAGGATTCAGATGTTGCTTTCGGGGGCCATTGAGTTGGTTCCAACTCTTGGCAACCCCATGGACATCAGAATGAAAGACTGCCCAGTCCTGCATCAGAATCACAATGTTTTTTATATGTGAGTCCATTGTTGCAGCCACTGCGTCAAGCAAGCTTAGAGGACTTTACTCTTTTTGGCTGCCTCTCTACTTTACCAACCATGATGTCCTTTTATAGAGACTGGTCTCTCCTGACTACATGTTCAAAGTACATAAGACCAAGAGTCACAATTGTTGCCTTTAAGAAGCATCCTGGCTGTACTTTTCCAAAGCAGATTTGCTGGTTCTTTTGTCAGTCCCTGGTACTTGTAATATTCTTTGCCAGTATCATAATTCAAACACACTGATTCTTCTTCAGTCTTGCTTATTCAATGCCCAACTTTCACAGGCACATGAGGCTACTGAAAATACCATGCCTTGGGTCACGAGCTCCTTAGTGCTCCAAGTAACATCCTTGGTTTTCAATACTTTAAAGAGGTTTTGTGCAGCACATTTGCCCAGTGCAATGCATCATCTGATCTCTCTCGACTGCTGCTTTCATGAGCATTGATTGTGAATCCAAGCAAGAAGAAATCCTTGACAACTTCAATCTCTTCTCTGCTTATCATGATGTTACCTTCTGGCCCAGATGTGAGGATGTTGATCTTCTTTACATTGAGTTGTTATCCATACTGAAAGCTGTAATCCTTGATGTACATGAGCAGGTACTTCAAGTCCTATTCACTTTCAGCAAGCAAGGTTGTATCATCTGCATATTACAGGATGTTAGTAAGCTTCCTCCCATCGTGATATTGGATTCTTCTTCATACAGACCAGCTTGCTTAACATTCAATTGAATGAGGATGGTGAGAGGATACAACCCTGACTCACACCTTTGCTGATTTTAAACCATGAGGTATTTCCTTGTTCTGTTTGCACAACTGCCCCTTAATCCAAGTATAGGTTCTGCATGAGCATAATGCAGTGTTCTGGAATTTCTGTTCTTCTCAAGTCTACCTATAGTTTGCTGTGATCCACACATAGCATAATAAAACTCAGGGAAACATTTTTTTATATTCTCTGCTTTCAGCCAAGATCCACCTGACATTAGCAATGATATCCCATGTTCCATGCCCCTGAGTTGTACTATTGGACTAGAGAAACAAATTCATAGACACTCATATGTGTATAAGAAAGAGCTTTATATAAAAGAGTAATTGTATTTTAAGAAAACATGCCCAGTCCAGATCAAGTCCATAAGTCCGATATTAGCCCATATGTCTGATACCAGTCTTTAAATTCCTCTTCAGACTTATGCAACACATGCAATGATGCCAAATGCAGGGAGATCACAAGCCAGTGGGTGGAAAGTCTTGTGGATCCAGTGGTGGTGGAAGCATCTCAGCTTTGGCAGGGGTCTCTATGTGGTTCCTCCAGCTCCAGGGCTCTGACTCAATCAGCTTGGCTCCACGTGTCTTGTCAGAAGGAAGATGAAGCAGAGAGTGTTGGTCTGGCCTCTAGTGAGCGATTTATCTCCTTCGTGCCTCCGAATGAGGCCATCAAGCTTGACCTGATTGACAGGCTAGATCCACCCTTTCGCAAGTTGACAGATTATGTGTCACGGGAAGCATCAAAATAATATGGAAAGAATACACAGTCTCTGTGCCAAAAAGAAAAGCCCTGATGGCATAGAGGTTACTCTTTGGGCTGTTAACTGTGAGGTCATCGGTTCAAAACCAACAGCTGTGCCATGGGAAAAAAAGGGGGCTTTCTACTCCTGTAGTTGCAGTCTCATAAACCCACAGGGCAGTTCTAACCTGCACTCTAGGATCTCTGGAAGTCAGAATCTACTCAATGGCAGTGAGTTTGGTTTTGGTTTTTGGTATCAAAAAGAACTAGTGGACATTCCACCATTTCAAGAGGTAGCTTATGATGAAGAACCAATGGTGCTGAATGAAGAAGTCTATGCTGCACTGAAGGCATTAGCCAAAGACAGGCTCCAGGAATTGATGGAATACCAACGGAAATATTTCAACAAGCTGATGAAGCACTGGAAGCCCTCACTTGTCTATGTCAAGAAATTTGGAAGACAGCTATTTGGCCAACTGCCTGGAAGAGATCCATATTTGTATCCATTGCAAAGAAAGGTGAAATATTGCTGAAGATCATTCAACAACACATGCAGCAGTACATTGACAGAGAGTTGCCAGAGGTTCAGGCTGTATTCAGAAGAGGATGTGGAACAAGGAGCACTTTGGCCGTACTTACAAGACAGGTCCGTTTGTCCTGTTGGCAGTCCATGGTATTTTCATTATTCTTCATCAGCCCCATCATTCAAAAGCACTGATTTTTCTTTGGTCTTCCTTATTCAAGGTCCAGCTTTTCACATGCATATGAGGTGATTGACATAGAGCGAGATTTCTTACATATTTAAAATATGTTATTTGCAGGCAAATTTGGTCAGCAAGGTTAGGTGAATGCTTCCAGGTCAGGTTAGTGAGTACTATTTTGGTAAAAATTAAGATGCAGTCTCTCATAACTAATTATGAGAGTAAGTTTCCTATGTGCTTTGTAAGCTCCCTGAAGCAATTCCCCAAGAGGACTTTTAAAGATATTCTGACAACTACGTCTGTTAGTAAACTATTTGATAGACATCAATTTGAATGTTTAGATCTGTTGTATTTGTTAAGCCAACCCACTGATTACTCAGCCAATCAGTCCATTGGCCAAAGATCATGAAATTATAGATATACCATAGACTTCCCACATCAGATGCTTTCTAGGCATCTAATGCTTTCTAGGGCAGAGAAGAACTGCCCTAAAGGGCTTCTAGGGCTATGAACCTCTTTGAGAGCAGACTGCCCTGTGGGAAACAAAGGTTTCTCTTAAGTCGCCTCCCCCATATAGACGTTAGACTTAGGACACTGCTTGCAGCGAATGGTAAATGATTGTCAAGTTACCTCCCTGAAGGCAGTCAGTTGTCTGACTACTGTCTGGTCCCACCACAGGTAGGCCCTGCTCCCTGCTGTTAAGGACAATGGGCTACTTCTCCCTAAAGGCTTGTGACCATTAGCTTGGTTCCTGTAGGTGGGGCTTACACCCTATTGATAATGGTTTCTATGGTGGGCCAGAAAACAAGTCAAACCGGCTCAGTGACATCAAAAGTTAGGCTGCCATCCTGAATCTAGGATCCGCCCATCTTGTCACTTGTGTACCTCTATTACCTCCCCTTCCTATTATGTGGATACCCTTAATTCACCCCCTCCCATTACTGTATTACCTATAGCACAATCCTTTCCTGTGATGTATGTCTTCACCTGTAATTAGATGGCTTGCATGTCCCCAGAGAATATAAAAGCCTTGGTTAGCAGTGAATCTCTCTCTCTCTCTCCACGTGGACCACCAAGTGAGGCTGAGGTGAGCATGCTACCATGAAATGTGTCTGACTCCATTATTTCAATCTCTCTTCTGTCTCTCATGCTCTCTATGACTTTACTATAACCTTTACTTATTATCACTGTACAATTGTGCCTACTGGACCCGTGATGATGTGTTAGGGCAGTACCCTGACACCGCCCCATCCTGCAGAGCAGCTGGTGGATTGGAACCATCAGCCTTCCAGTCAGCAACCCAATGTTTAACCCGCTGTGGCACTAGGGCTCCTTACATGGGATCCAGAGCAGGCATTTAAGAAGTTTATTGCTGTGAATGGCACCTAAATACGTTCGTTGCCACTTACTTCATCTGCAATGCACACTCCTCCCCTCTCTCGCACCAGCTGGAAGGCTTCTTTCAGAAACCCCTTCGGGTACTGCACGACTCCATTCACACCCTGCAAAGACCAAGAAGACCTAGAAACGTTCGAAAAGCTTCAAAGCAAAACCAGACCAAATTGGATAGATCATTACATTATGTTCATTGGCATTAGGAGTAGTAGCAAATTATTTCTATTTTGGGTGAAAAAGAAGGGTTGGTACTTAAATGCTACATCTTTTGGAAAAACAAATAAACAAACAAACAACCCCCCAAACTATGCAAATTGTCATGCTTTTCTAAGATGAGAAGAAACCAGATCGAGAGGACTTGTTAAGGATAAAGAAAGGCTTCCTCAACAAAGTGAGGATTCCTAAACCAAAATCAAACCTATTGCCAACTTGGCAATTCCAACTTATAAACTCCAAAACTCACTACCATCGAGTCAATTCTGATTCATAGCAACCTTAGAGGACAGGGTGGAACTGCCTCTATGGTTTTCAAGATTGTAACTCCGTACAGGCATAGAAAGCCTCATCTTTCTCCCTCAGAGCTGTTGGTGGTTTCAAACTGCCAACCTTTCAGTTAGCAGTTCAATGTGTAACCCTTATGCCACCAACTTATAGGGGCTGTCTAGATTCCAAACTCCATAGGGTTTCTAAGTTGGTAAATCTTTACAAAGCAGACAGCTTTCTTACTGAAAAGTAGCTGGTGGGTTTAAACCATCAAATTTGTGTCTAGCAGCGGCAGTGCTTGGCCCACTAAGCCTCCAGGGCTCCTGTGTGTATATTAGGTGAGTATTAGGGTTAGTCGACTATATATTGCTGCAGTTTCTTTTTCTAGAGAAATTCAATAGTTTCATCTATCTGCTCAGTTTAAGGTTGGAGGAGATGGTCTTTAAATATATTTAAAGAAAATCGAACACATGCTAGAGAAGGAAACTCCTTTTTCAAGGAGAGGAAGTCAATGAATTGAATTTGATGAGCAACATAGCAATGGGCACTAAATGTTTGGAATGATGTGGATTGTTCGATTGAAGATGCCTTGATAGTTGTAAAATTCAGCTGAACGAGGCATAAAGTTGAATTACTCACTTGAATCGGCTCGGCAAAAAACCCAGCAATTGACTTGGCGACAGTAGTGTTTAGAGTTTCTTTGAACTGTTCAATATACATGTCTTTAGCTTGGCAGCAGTCTAGAAACAGTAAAACAAAATAAACAAACAGCGAACCCCAGCATTTGAAGATGTGAGAGTGGCATCCAAGAGAATGGGGGGAAACAGGAAAACAAAAACAAAGTCAAAAAACCAAGGTGAATAAATTGATTAGCCTCCCGTACACCAGGATATAAAACTCAAAAACGCACTGAAATTGAGTCAATTCCAACTCATAGTACCCTACCTCTGTGGGTTTCTAATATTGGAAATCTGTATGGGAGTAGAAAACCTCATCTTTCTTCCTAGTACAGTAGTGGCTGGTGGGCTCTAACTGTTGACCTTGCTGTTAGCAGCCTAACTAGTAGTCACTATGCCCCCAGGGCTCCTTATCAGGATATAAAGATATGGATTTCTAAGGGGAAACCTTCTCTTAAAATGATTTGTACTTTGGCTCAATTAAAGAGGTGAAGATAGTCATACAGGCATTAACAACACACGTTAATCATTTCCATCTTGAGGAAAAATGCCCCAATGTATCATTTGGCTTGGAATAGAGAGCTAAGAATGCCTATATGCTCAATGAGTCCATTTCTTTCTACTGTAATTAGAATTTGGAGTTAATATCTTAAAAAAATAACCTTAGTTTACTTTTTATCATCACTTAACATAATGTTTAATTTATAATGACAAGGCATCTCAGTCTTGAAAGTTAGTAAATATGTTTATAAGACAATTAGAATTCAGTCTAAAGAAGAATGTTCTAGAGTTTTGATAGGGCCTTTTTTTGGGAAGACACCCTAATGAAGCTAAGATTGAGACACGTGAATTAAACTAACTATTGAGAGGTCTATAGCCTCCTCTGACTGTAGAGACCTGTTTAAACGTGATTTGTTTGGAATAAATCCATGCATGTAAAAACTGACACCCTAATAGCAATACTTCTTCATTCTTCCTCATATTCTTTATCCACACCTACTTTGCCATTCTTTATAGTGTCCGTCCTTTGCCCATATGTTTACATTTATATTTGATTTTCTTTAAAAATAGTAAGCATATTTATTTTATAATTTATCTGGTAATTCCAATACTCAAAATTATCCATGGTCTGTTTTCATTCTGTGTATATTTGCTATTTTTGACTGTGGATGTTTATCTTCCTTGGGATTTTGTTTATCAGAATTCATTGAGGCCCAGAATGAGAATTCCTTTAGAGAATATTGAATTTGCAATTTCTAGGCACAGAGGGCATGACCAGCCTTAGATTTTTTCTAAATCATCAGCTTAAGGTAGTGAGAATTCAGAATGCTAAGCCTCAAGATGGCCAGCCTGTAGTTCAAGTTGTCAGTGATGATTCCCCCACAAGTTTTCTACCACTCAGACCAGCACTTTGCAGGCCATTCAATGGACGAGGCGTTGGTGATGGTAAGTAAATTTATTTCTGGTTGACTCATGAGTGAGGGTGTGGCCTCTTTGGGGCCCTTTATGGAGGTGGTTGTTGTGAAGTGCCATTGAGTTGGCTCCAATTTATAGTAAACCGATGCGCAACCGAACATGACACTGCCCAGTCCTGTACCATCCTCAGAATGGTCATGTTTTTAGTCCAGCGTTGCAGTCATTGTGTCAATCTCTTTGAGGGCATTTCTCTTTTTGCTGACCCTGTATCACCCATTGTGTCTGTTTCCAGCGACTGGTCTCTCCTGATCACCCATTGTGTCTGTTTCTAGTGACTG